CCCAGAGCGTAAACGAATCCACATTTCTGGCAAAACATAGGCCACTCGGTTAAACAACTAAGATTGTGACATCTTCAAAAATATGACATATATCCACTTCAAATTTGCATATAACAGGAATAATTATTTTTACTAAAAAAATAACAACAAATGTGATAGTTCAAAATATGATCCTAAGATTAACTAGCTAGGGTTCATACTACATTATCCTAAGATTCATACTACATTATCCTAAGATTAACTAGCTAGGGTTCATACTACATTATCCTAAGATTAAACAACTAAGATTAAACACCTAAGATTAAACAACTAAGATTAAAAACCTACATTATCCTAAGATTCATACTACATTATCCTAAGATTAACTAGCAGCTAGGTTTCACACTACATTTTCCTATGATTAAACAACTAAGACTAAAAACCTAAATTTTTCAACTTGCTAGGGTTGAAAATAAACTAGGGTGGAGGAGGAAGGAGGGAGGAGGATGTACCTCTCGATGGAGGAGGGCCGATGCGGGAGGAGAGCCGGGGCGACCGGCTGGGGAGGAGGCCGACGCGAGGGAGGGCGGCCGGCGGGGAGGAGGGGGCTGAAAGTGCAACTATCCCTAGGTGGTTTTGGTAATTCATAACAACATATAGCTCATTGAGCTAATGCTATTTCAAGACAAATATTTCAGGAAAGCTCAATGAATGGCATGGCATGGATGATGAAAGTGGATCCCTCGAAACATTAAGGACAAAGGATTGGCTTAAGCTCAAAAGCTCAAGACTCTACGTTTTACATTTTAGTGATCCAAGATCACATTGAGTCTATAGGAAAAGCCAATACTATCAAGGAGGGATGAGGTGTTGCTTAATGAGCCTCTTGCTTCATGTGCTTAGTGATATGCTCCAAAACCGTCCACTACTTTCTCACATCCACATATGACCTAAACCTAAAGTCAAACTCGTCCCTACCGATTCTTTCTATCCGGCGCCACCGAGTTTCAAATGTCATAGCCACTGCCACAAACCCTTGGCAAATCGGTTTCACCGATAGGGATCTCGGTCTCACCGAGATGGGATTGTAATTTCTCTGTTTCCCTTCGTAACATTTCGGTCTAACCAAAGTGAGCGATCGGTCCCACCGAGATTGCAATGTAAACTCTTTGTTTCCCTTTCGTAACTTTTCGGTCTCACCGAAAGAGCGAATAGGTCCAACCGAGTTTACCTGACCAACTCTCTGGTTAGCTAATTACCAAAATCGGTCTCACCGAGTTTGTGTAATCGGTCTCGCCGAGATTACGTTATGCCCTAACCCTAATCATATCGGTCCTACCAAGTTGCATGTCAGTCCCACCGAAAACCCTAACGGTCACTAGGTTTACTAAATCGGTCCCACCGAGTTTGATGATTTGGTCCCATCGAGTTTGGTAAATTGTGTGTAACGGTTAGATTTTGTGTGGAGGCTATATATACCCCTCCACCTCCTCTTCATTCGTGGAGAGAGCCATCAGAACAAACCTACACTTCCAACTTACCAGTTCTGAGAGAGAACCACCTACTCATGTGTTGAGGCCAAGATATTCCATTCCAACCACAAGAATCTTGACCTCTAGCCTTCCCCAAGTTGCTTTCCACTTAAATCTTCTTTCCACCAAATCCAAATCCTGTGAGAGAGAGTTGAGTGTTGGGGAGACTATCATTTGAAGCACAAGAGCAAGGAGTTCATCATCAACACACCATTTGTTACTTTTTGGAGAGTGGTGTCTCCTAGATTGGCTAGGTGTCACTTGGGAGCCTCCGACAAGATTGTGGAGTTGAACCAAGGAGTTTGTAAGGGCAAGGAGATCGCCTACTTCGTGAAGATCTACCACTAGTGAGGCAAGTCCTTCGTGGGCGACGACCATGGTGGGATAGACAAGGTTGCTTCTTCATGGATCCTTCCTGGGTGGAGCCCTCCGTGGACTCGCACAACCGTTACCCTTCGTGGGTTGAAGTCTCCATCAACGTGGATGTACGATAGCACCACCTATCAGAACCACGACAAAAACATCTGTGTCTCCAATTGCGTTTGAATTCTCCAAACCCTTCCCTTTACATTCTTGCAAGTTGCATGCTTTAATTTCCGCTGCCTATATACTCTTTGCATGCTTGCTTGAATTGTGTGAAGATTGCTTGACTTGTTCAAAGATAGCTAAAATCTGCCAAAGTCTAAAATTGGGAAAAGGTTAAGTTTTTAATTGGTCAAGTAGTCTAATCACCCCCCCTCTAGACATACTTCAAGGTCCTACACCAGCACGGGCGAGGGCGACCGACGCAGGGAAGAGGGCCGGCGCGGGTGATGATAGCGTGCGGGGGTTGACGACGGCGCGCGGGGGGATTGAGGGAGGAGTGTGGAGTGTGTGAGTGAGCTGATGAGGCCGGGGGCGCGAGCAGGCCGACCGGCGCGCGGGGAAGGGAGTGGGCTTAACAGCAGCGCGGGGCCAGCGCTACTGCTAAGCCCACTAGCTGTAGCGCCGGTGCACATCACGCGCTACAGCTAAGTGGCCTGCCCTTTTGGCCCCGGCAGCCCGCTAAACAGCAGCGCGGCCCATGCAAACCAGCGATGCTGTATTCAGTAGCAGTAGCGCCCGTTTTGGCCGGCGCTATTGGTACATACCAGTAGCGTGGGCGCCCAAACAGGCGCTACTGCTAAAATTCTATGTATAACCATTTTCCTAGTAGTGAGTGGTAGATATAAATTAAAAAGTAAAATGAAAAGAGTAAAATTGCAGCAAGGTATTTTTGATTTTTGATTCTAGGAATTAAGAGGGGTGATTAGATACTAAATCATCAAATAATTCGAAAAATTGAAAATCGAAAAAAAATCAAATATTTTTTACAAAATTTAAAAAAAATTTCAAAAAAATTCAAAAAAAGAACCGTTAGTATCGGTTGGTAACACCAACCGGTACTAAAGGTCCCCCATACCACGACGCGAGCTCACGCCACGTGGTGGGCCTTTAGTGGCGGTTCGTGCCGAACCGGTACTAAAGGGGGGGGGGCTTTAGTCTCCACCCTTTAGTGCCGGTTGCAGAACCGGCACTAAAGGCCCTTACGAACCGGTTTTAAAGGTCCGTTTTCTACTAGTGTGATAAAAGTAGACCGGGGGCCATAGTTTTCACTAGAGCCTTCACTCTCGAAACATAGCATATTGTGTGTATAGACAAATTACTGTTGGGCAATTGATAGAAAAGTGCATACTTATGATGTTATTAATGGTAATGATTATGTATATAGACATTACTTTTGTATAAGTTTTTTTTCATTGACACTACTCCATAGTTCATAGTATGATAGGTTATTAATTATGCAGTCTTATTTATTATTCGATAAGACTCATATTAGCACATCATTTAATATGATATGGTGTCATACTATGATACTAGTAGTATACTCTTTTCATCATTAAATGCTATGGCAACTTAGCAATATGTCTGATTGGCATTGCATGCCACTGCATGATAGTACTTGCTATGATACCCTTACTATGAAGTCGTCCGGTACCCCACTATAGCAATCATATGCTCCTTAACTTTTGTACATCTCTCGTGGATGCCTAAGGTTTGAATGCGCTGAATTGAAGTTAAAAATTATAGTTGAGAAGGTCATACATTTTTGAATAAATCATGTGTCGGGCTAGTAAAACAAACAAAAGTAACTTTCCCCAGGACTATTGTTTCAGCCAATTTTGTTTCATGTGATTATTGATTGCTATTTTGACAAATAGCATGGGAAAAATATTCACCAAATTCATATCCTTGTTATCTATTTCCACATACCTATAGAGGAATGCAAATAATGATCAATTAGGTAGGAGCGATGGCCCACATCACCCTCAGCTCTGATTAATCCCTATCTACATCATGGTTCACCAAAAAGTGTTCTCTGTATCATAGTGCTCCCCTGACGTGGTTGTTAGTTGACACCCACCATTAAATGAATTATTAATTAAACTTTTAACTAGATATAAAGAGACTAGCTACTTGGTTAGGTCTTCTTAATTAGCACATCTTGATTCTTCTTCTTCTTGCCCCTCCTTTCTTAATTAATTACGTCATTTGGAAAATAATTGATCACCATTCGTCAATAGAGATAAATTAAGTAAAGTCAAATGTTCTCTAATGCGGTTACTCCTCATATCCATACAAGTGAGCCATCACATGCATGCACTAATTACCCACCCACCCTTAGATGAACTAAGATACCAATTAAAGGGACTAACCAGCCAGTCTGTTGTTTTGGTCTCGAGGTGGCTACCATTTTATCTTGTCTTTCTTTTTTTGAATTTTTAGTCTTGTGTTAGAAAACGCTGGTGGTGCACAAGTCGTATAAGCAAGATGGTGTTCATACATAGACCTACTTGATAGTTGATCCCCACGAGATGGCCTATAAATACCCATCCTCATCAGCTTCCGTTTTCCACAACACGCAAGTTCAGCCCAGATAAAAGCCCTTTGCTTGATTTACTCAGCATCGTTCTTGATCCCATAAGTCGACCATGCCAAATCACCCCAATTTCCATGTTACTGCATTCCCCGGGGTTCTAGAGAACACCGAGTTTGAGTTCAGTAGCTTGTACTTGCACCACCTTGTCTATGGACCAAGCCCAACCCAATCAAACATCATAAGTGCAAATTCCACCACTGGGTGGGGCTCCACAGAAGTTAACAACTGGCCAATATATGATGGGGTTGGCCACGACGCGAAGCTAGTGGCCCGCGCACAAGGGCTCCATATCTATGCTGGTAATTGGCACAATATGTTAACCATTGCGTTCGAGATTGAAAGGTACGCGTACATACAGAAACTTGGTACTTTTTCCCAATATATCCATATTATATATCTCCTTTTATGTAACTTGGTAGTAATAGTTTTATGTGGAACACAGACTAGATCGAGTTTACTATACAAATTTTAAATTTCATAAAATAATCTAAGCATCTACATAAAAGAGTTGACATCTCAACCATAACATCATGTGCAAACGTCCATTGCATTTGGGCAACGGCCAGCTAGTTTCTCATATTGTCAGAATAGTGAGAATATGTAAGTGTGTGCTTTTTCGATATAGGTTTAAGCACAGCACGCTCCAAGTAATGGGAACATCTGTTGAGCAAGAAGGTGCGTGGTCTATTGTCGGTGGGACAGGTGACCTTGCAATGGCACATGGCGTTATAAACAAAAAACTTCATCATAGAACAAGTGATGGGGACATAATCGAGCTTACCATTCATGGGTTTTGTCGCATGCAGGTGAGAACACAAGGATAGTCAGATTTCCGATGTTTTAATTGTTTATTTTTATGTTTATTCTTTTTGTCGCTCCATTTATTTGTACACATGCATGCAGATACCTACTCTTGGAAAAAGTGGCCCATGGGGTGGCAATGGGGGTTATGTTGTTGATTCAGAAAAACCCTCACGGATAGAAAGTATCACCATCCTATATAAAGGAATAATTGCTTCATTTGAATATTCTTACATCGACTACTATGGAAACAGGCGCACATCAGGTCCTTGGGGTAGTAAGAATCCCAACCACACAAAGGTAGGATTATTGTCATAACAGATTAGCTCTAGCCAGAATTTCATTTACTTCAGTTCATTTCTATAAGGTGAAAAGAATTGATTTTTTTTCAAAGTCAAGCTTTTCTATCATCAATTTTTTTAAAAAATTTGTAATGTTTATAAGGTGTATTAGTTATCACTTCAGTACCATTAGATTCGTTATGAATATATTTTTACATTCTATTTGTTTGGTATTGTAGATTTTGATAGGTTATCCTTAAGTTTAATCAGAGATAGAAAAACAAAATCAGTACCCCATATATAAAAAGTTAGTTAATTAGGAACTTGCAAATATTATCAATTTATTGAGTGATTATTCCCTTTATTGATGTGCAGATCGTGTTGGCCCCTGAGGAAATTCTGACTGCAGTGTCTGGAACAGTTATCAAACATAATACCCCCATGGGGACCAAAGTCGATGTTGTGCAGACACTCGAGTTTGTCACAAACAAGAAAACATATGGACCTTACGGGAATCTTGACAATAATAAAGAACTTGGTACTCCTTTCAGCGCCGTCGCGCCGGATGGCAAAGCAATTGTTGGCTTCTTCGGGCATACTGATGACAGGTACCTGAACGCAATTGGAGTTTATATTGCCTAAGAGGTTCAGTGAACATTTCATTGCATGTTCCAAATAAAAATAAAAACAAGATGGTTAAAGATATCCTACTTTCAGTGGTAATTGATACATGTATATTTGTGTGTGCGGCTGTATTGTGTTCTTTAAATAATAAAGTCCCTTGGGGAATGACTTCTCTAAAACTTCAGCTGGATGCCTGACTGTAACGTGTAAGGAGCTCTCGTTTTGTTTTGTTTTGAAACGGGTACACTGAAACGACTAGGAAGCTATTGACCATACTCACTTACCCTAATCTACTTCCAATCGTTCGTTTGAGAGGGTACTTTAGTCTTTTTTGTGTCTTTCATTTAAGCGTAATCTTTTGATGTATTCTCTGGGCCTACTAATTTCTCCGGATTTTCGATCAAGTGCAAACCGTTGTCTCCGTGGCTGCCTTCTCCTTCCCTGCCTTGTGCCTCTACTTCCACACCCATGAAAACATGGCGCCTCGCATCCTCCGTCGTATCCTAGTCCTTTGACCGGACATGCAAAAAGGACTAGTCGCCTTTCTAAAAGTTCTTTGGCATTTTCTAAAAAATTGGAATGCTTTTCGTTTCTTTTGTGTGCACCACTCATGTGTTGATTTAATCATGAAGGAGCCATGACTTTCGGATGATGCATCCCTAGTTTATTGGCTGACGGGTCCCTCGTCGGCTGGTTCGCGCTGCATACTAGTCAAATATCGAAATTACGGTAACTGCCGTCCGGAGGGAGTAGTTTCCAACTTAGTTTCTACATATAGATTACCAATTTATCCTTAAAATCAAGGTACTCGCCAATTTTTGGTGGTGGTACTCCTAAACATATATATTGGAGTACCAACCAACCAATCCTGTATTCCTGTCCATCAGATTATAACAAATGGAATGCCGATATTCATTTAAGGGTACTGTAAAAGAACTCACATCCTCTGATTTTGGGATGTGCTTAGCAAGGAACAATTGAAATACGAGGACTTGATATTCAGTCCTATAAATATATTCACAGCGATGAGCGGCTTAGATGGCTGCCACTTTTTGTTCAATAATTACACAGCCAAGACTACTGGAGGCAAGTCTGAAAAGATATAATTTTGTTTGCTTCCCCGAATCAATGCCATTTTCTAAAGTGAATGACTTCGTTTGGTCAAGAGGAAGTTTTCTTTTAACACTAGCATCTAGTCTAGATCAAATTTAACTCGAACGTCTAGATCACATGGACCATACGAAGCTGGCTGTGTGAATACAACAAACGCGAGGTCTTATTCTTTCGACAACTAGATGATATCTCCACGTGTAGCTACGTGAATTATTTGCAATACATCTAAATGAGATTTGGTTATATGAAACATAAATATTTAAACTAGTAACAGGATAACTGAAACTGAAAACACATATAATTTATTGTATCTGATTATTGTAATGTTGAGAAATATACACTATTTCCAAAAAAATGTCCGTGAAAAATATAAAACAAAAATATTTATACAATGTAAAAAGTGCTCGTGTTATTTAGGAAATGCTTAATTCCATTAAAAAAAATCACAATATATAATTGGAAAATGCTACTGTGTATTCAAAAAAGTTTTCAAAATATGTATTTTTAAAGTGTACATCATATATTTGAAAAATGCCCAAAATGTATCAAAAAAACCATCAAAAAAATAAAACCAACGAAAATACAACAAAAAAGAAAGAAAAGGACCGGTCGAATGTACTCCCTCTGTAAACTAATATAAGAGCGTTTAGAACACTACTTTAGTAAGCTAAACGCTCTTATATTAGTTTACGGAGGGAGTACAATACTGGATATGAGCGGCAACAACTACCACGCTAAATTGGAGAGCCCGCTAGTGTGTCTCCCATAGGCGGTTCTTATTAGGAAACAGTAAGGGCGGCACATAGTTGTCGCGCTCTCAAACTAGCGATCCCTCTCTTGTTAGCACCGAACCAGGACCCGGTCTCCAACAGGGCCTGCCAGATTTCTATGCTGGGCTCTCAAGATGTATTTGATTTTAATAAAAACCCACACTCATATGACAAGGATGAGGTCGCTGGTTGGTGGCTGGACGTGTCCGTGATGTCTGGTGGCTGGCTTTATTGACGTTTACATTTCTTTTGTTGTGTGTTCCATGCCATGTTAACTAGGATACACGCACCATCAGGCCAATTTAAAGACCACAAGGCATGAACTATATCATCGCTAACTGCCCTCCGGGCTAGTTAGTGAGCCTCCTTGTTTGATCATCTCATCTCATGAGTAAAGGAGATACCTAGCTTCGAACACTGCAGTTAGACTGTTAGAGCAACTACAACAGCTCTTATATCGACAAAGAAACTACCGCTTATGGTAAGTTGGAGCGAAACAAGGCCTCCAACCATTCCCGTAAACCCGATCTTTTTATGGGATCCTGTGTAATCACCTCCTCAATCCTTCAACTTTACCGGAAGATGGCTTTCCCGTATAGCTTTGGCGAACGGATAATCATCTGAAATTTCACGAGCGCAACGCCGGACAACCGTGTTTGGCCGCCGGAATGCCCATCGCCATCACCAAAGGCCCACACCACCGCGTCGACACTCCTCTGTCGCCTCCTACCCTGCCCACGAGGTCGGCCATCGTCATCATTGCTCCCGTGCACCGGACCACCCTGCGTTGCCGCCACCGCCACCCACTGCGCCACTGCCCTGCCTCGTTTCGTACCCTGCATGCGAGGCCGGCCGGCGGCCGCCACACGTCGCTACAGCACCGCTCCGTGCGTTGGACCGCCCTAAGCCGCCGCTGCCCTGCCCCGCCTCCTACTTTGCCTGCAAGGCGACCAGCCGCCGTCGCCATGTGATGCCGCCGCCACTCATATGCGCCGTTTCCACGCGCTGCCTCCAGCACGCACCACTGCTGGTGCGCCTCTGCCGCTCACTGTCACGCCTCTATGACTGATTTATGGGCCCTATGCTTTTAGTTGAAGTTTTTAAATTGAAAATGGAAAAATAAATATTTTATCGGATGATGATTACGGGAGTTGAGAAAAGTGGCCTTTAAAAAACTTCCCTTAAATTTTACGGTCATCCCGTAAAAATGGTTTTACGGGAAGTTTAATAGGGGAGCTCTTGGAGTTGCTCTTATGGGTTGCAAGTTTGCAACACATAAACGAGTCTGCTTTTGAAAACTTTTGTCTTTGAGACTATGGTTTTGAAATCTTTGCGACCACGTGAGTACTGTGGTACGAGCTGGGCCTGAAATCTCATAGAACGAAGGAAAGATAAACTGGGCTGTGTACTGTACCGCGGGCTGGGCCAGTACTCTCACAAGAATTCCGACGATTAGCTAAAAAAAAAAACCCAGAAGAAATCCGATGAGGTCCCTCGGCCTTCCCGGCGACAGCGACCTCCTCCTCGCCGGCGACAAGTATAGGGTCCCCCTTCCTTCTCCGAGGGTCACTCCCCACCACCACCGTTGCCCCTTCCATCGGTAGCTCACCTGCAGCAGCTCCTGCCCCCCGCCTTGCTCTGTAACTGTAGGCACCGCCACCAGTGGGCCACGACGCTCACCGGCGCCATGGCTCGCAGAAAGGAGACGGCGCAGGGAGACCTTGGCCCTTCAAGTTCCGATGATCGCGCTGGGGCTGGCGGCGAAGTTAATTCGAGGTCCATGGAAGGTCCAAGGCAGGAGATCCGTCGCCTTCGTATTCTCCGATTGAGGTGAGCCTTCCTATTGGGGAGTCATTAAATTGTGGAACAAAACAGACATTGTAGATTTGTTGGCTTTGATGATTCTTAGAACGCTCACAAGCTATTGATGAGATCTCGAGAGATATTTGTGCCCATGTATTATTTATCAAATTGGATTCTCCAACAGTTTTGCCACAAAACTTCTCAAGACTGATCTAAAAACAGAATCGCCATATTCTAGACGACAAGTTAAAGCTGTTGACCCTTCAAAGTTGGCCTGGTAACTACAATTTCCTAGAAACATTAGCCATCTTGTCAATTTACGCCATTCTTTTTGTTCAAAATGATGTCCACTCCAGTGTTCCGGAGGTTGGAAAGATAAAGTGTTTACAAGAGCTAGCTGAAAAGTTTTTGTATCAAGAAAGAGAGTGTTGGATTAGAAATTAGCGAGTTGGGGAAGTTAACAAAGCTTGATGAAAAAAGGATATACCAAGAGTTACGAGCAGAAATCCAGCGTAACAACAGTTTATACTTTCAATGGCTTAATTTTTTTCCTCTTCATTGAAAAAATTGCATTCTGAAATATGCAGTCTTTTTGCTTCTGTATGTAGAATTTTCAGGTTAGGAAGAAGGCCAAGGCCCTGAGCTACAGTTCTAGACCTGATTGGTTGAAGTAGCATATGTGTTACAGTTTTACACAGTATACTTTGAAGACCAGGGTTACACGTGACGCCCGGTCAATCGATGGAGTGAATACCCGTTTTCTTGTTTGTATGTACTCCCTCCGTCCGAAAAAGCTTGTCCCAAGCTGACACTCAAATGGATGTATCTAGCACTAACTTGGTGATAGATACATCCATTTGAGGGACAAGTTTTTTCGGACGGAGGGAGTACTATATAGAAGAATCTCACCAAGTGAAAATCGATGAACCTGGGGGTAAATGCAGTAGTATACAGTGTAACAAAACGTAAATAAAATGGGTATACTCAGCATGTATCAATTGATGGTCCTTGCGTTGTTCATAGGATGTCAGCTGTTGCGCTTAAAGTACATAATTATAACACGAGCATGCAGTCCGGATGCTACGCTTGCTAATAGTATTGAAGACATTATATACTTTAAATAATTATTTTGACACGAAAAATATTAACTTCAATTTCGACGCTACATCAAAGCATGTATAGTAGTATAGAGTATACTATGATCCACGTAACCAGTTCTCATGGCATAAAAAAGAAACGTTGGCGCATATTCAATTGTTTTTAGATAATAAAAGTGATTGTTACTGTATATGGATGTTCAGTCTTTATTCAGTGTGGCAGGATGGTTCAGGTGTTTGACTGGTTTTATTTTTGGGCACCTTCGCATTGTCTCAGGATTGTAATTTCAGAGGTATCAGTAGTTAGGTTGTGCGTCCTAACCAGTTCTAAACTGAGGGTTGTAAATTAAACTAGGGTGTTTTTCCTTTGTTGCAAGCTCAGCGATGCCTGATTTTGAAGAACAGCTTGGGAGCTTTTGTTCCTTATGTTTACCTAACTCCAATGGAATCAAGAACCATTATGATTTTATTTTACTTTTGCAGGTCCTAATCAATTGATTTCTAATGGCCTTGGATCTTGGGAAATGCCTCTTTTTATATCTATGAAGGAGGTCGTAGCACGTGACTGGTCAGACACGACAAAATAAAAATAGAGCAAAGTTTGTAGATATGTGTTGTTGCAAGCGATTGGCTGCATTATTGATGTATTCAAAAGGTATGACAGTGACAACAGGTGGGCAAAAGGTTCCATTCATTACCTTGGTATATACTCCCTCCGTCCCAAAATAAAAAGTTGTCAACGACACTTATTTTGGAACGGAGGGAGTATATGCTTCTACCTTTCAACATGCTGATTAGTACTGCACATCTAAGTGCACTTAAATTTAGCAGAAGACATAGAAATGGTAATCTTGTTCTGCTTGAGCATGTATTGTTAATTGTCCACCTCACTATAGTTTGTCCGGTAGTAAAGTTATTCCATCAGTTGTTTGAACCTAGCTGCCATGCTGCCTCCTTTGTCTCCCGTATAGATTCTTTTAGTCCACTTGGCTGCCAAGTTACCTCCTTTGTCTCCCATAGAGATTCTTTAGTCCACTTGACTGCTGTTCTCTGAATCGTCCCATTCAAGCTCAAACATAGTACATGTTAAATATCCCTTCATTTCACCGGTAAATCAGCACCTAGGTACCTTAGTTTCAACATTCAAGCATGGAGGAGCCCCTTGTTGACAAGACAGGAGAGGAGAGCCTGGTAGTGATTGAGGTGAAGAAGCAGTTGTACCTTGCCGGGCCTCTCATCGTCGGAAGCCTCCTACAGGATGTGGTCCAAATGATATCCGTCATGTTTGTGGGTCATCTCGGCGAACTCGCTCTCTCGAGTGCCTCCATTGCAACCTCCTTCGCCGGCGTAACTGGCTTCAGCTTGTTGGTATGATTTTTTTTCCTTTTTCCATTGATCGATGCACCAATTTAATTGGACCTGCTGGACATCATCATCAACTTCAGTGATTGCATTGAATTTCAGTCTGGCATGTCGAGCAGCTTGGACACGCTGTGTGGGCAAGCCTTTGGAGCAAAGCAGCACCATCTTCTTGGCATCTACAAGCAGAGGGCAATCCTTGTGCTCACTCCGGTGAGCGTCGTGGTTGCCGTAATTTGGGGATACACCGGTCAAATCCTTCTGTTCTTTGGACAGGACCCTGAGATTGCCATGGAAGCAGGGAGCTACATCCGATGGTTGATTCCATCGTTGTTTGTCTACGGTCCGCTGCAGTGCCATGTCCGATTCCTACAGACGCAGAACATGGTCCTTCCGGTGATGCTGAGCTCGGGAGTGACAGCACTGAACCACATCTTGGTGTGTTGGCTGCTGGTCTACAAGCTTGGTCTGGGCAACAAGGGTGCTGCCTTGGCCAATACAATCTCCTACCTCACGAATGTGTCCATCTTGGCTCTCTACATCAGGCTCTCCCCGTCTTGTAAGAGCACATGGACGGGGTTGTCGACGGAGGCATTTCGCGACATCCTCGGTTTCCTGAGGCTTGCCGTCCCATCTGCGCTCATGGTGTGGTGAGTTTGATGTCTATATGCTATATGTCGCAAGTGCAAATTTGCCATCTCCAGTTGATTGATTTAAGTAATTCCATCTGACATACATATATTTTTACACGAACAGCTGGGAGTGGTGGTCGTTTGAGCTCCTGGTACTTGTTTCCGGATTTCTTCCAAATCCTAAACTTGAGGCATCAGTGCTGTCAATCAGGTGAGGCCGTGAGGCGACATATTCAAGCATGGCATATTTCATTTCATACTACTTGGTTTGCTATTTTCTCTTTTTTGATAGTAACATGCAGTTGGATTTCTTGCAGTTTGAATACTATCTCATTGGTATTCAGGGTCCCATATGGGCTTAGTGCAGCTATAAGGTCAGCTCAAACTCATAAGCCTTTAACTATTATACAAAATAGAAGCTGATATGTATCAAATCCTTTATCTACGTACGTAGCACCCGTGTGTCAAATGAGCTAGGTGCTGGGCGACCGGATGCAGCCCGTTTAGCGACCCAGGTGATCATGGTCCTGGGTGTTGTGTCAAGCATATCAGTTTCTCTTGCTATCATTTTGGTGCGCAATCTATGGGGGTATGCATACAGCAACGACAAGGAAGTGGTGGAGTACATTTCAAAAATTATGCCAATTATTGCCGTGGCATTCTTGTTTGATGACATGCAGTGTGTTCTTTCAGGTATTGTAAGGAAGATCCTGTAGTTTTCGTACATGCTGGAAATATAAGGTTATTAATTGGCACATTTTACAGGTATTGTTAGGGGCTGTGGCTTTCAAAAGATTGGTTCCTATGTCAATCTCAGTGCGTACTACCTCGTGGGCATCCCGGGGGCTCTATGTTTTGCCTTTGTGTACCATCTTGGTGGAGTGGTAATCAGTAGTACTATTTTACTACCCTTATATATGGCCTTATCACCTTTGTGTTCACTTGACATAACGAGACCTCCATGTAAAATATGTTAGGGGCTGTGGATGGGAATAACCTGCGCACTTGTCGTGCAGACGGTGTTGTTCATGTCCATTACTCTGCGCACCAACTGGGACAAAGAAGTAAGACCACCAAATATTATCTGTTTTGTTCGCTCCTCATTCACCTTACTGCATGCATGTCCCATTATCTTTAATTTGTGTCGTTGCTTATTTTGGTAGGCTTTGAAGGCCAGGGACAGGGTTTCTATTACCTCCTTTCCTCTGGACTTGGCGACATGAGGACACACACAAGATGCACATTTTTCTATGCCAGAGAGATGTGCAGGGAAATAAGGAAACGACAAAGAATTCGTCGCAGAAAAATGATGCTTCTTGTCCAAGTCACCAGCATGTGTCACTCCTTTACGGAAATAATAAAATGTTTGTTGACTGGCATCGGCCGTATATTACTAGACAATTTTCTTCATGAAAGAATATAATGGCAAGAAAAGTGTGGTGAGAGCTGCTAGTCCATTTGTGTTGTGAAATCCGGCACACAAGAATTTTTCCAGCAAGTGGCAAACATTGAAAAACCATGGCATCAAAGACAGTTCAACATGGAAAGGAGGTTTTGACTTGTATTTTAGCAGAGTGATGAAGGGGTGAGTTGTTTCTTTCTTGGATAGCTTGAAGGAGACAGATGCTCCTTTCAAGAGAATAGGGCTCTGTCCTACGAAAAAACGACCGTCTTCTACGGATATATGATAAATGCCTCGTTTTACTTTGCATGTTTGTTTTGACACATATGATATGACCAATTTTACTTTGTCCATTTGATAATTTTCCTGTTTAAATTTTCACAAGTTTCTCTCTCTAATCTGACACCTACAATGATTGTTTTATCCTTGACATATCTAACCTCTCTCCTCTCTAATCTCACATGTAACAACCGTATCACCCCCACCTTTGTTTCTCTCTTCTTTTGCTAACTGTTCATGTGAACTTTGTTTGCATGTGAATATCATGTTTCATTGCTCACAAATATTACTGTCACGTATTATAGAGTTGGTTTAGAAAATGTTGGCAAATTCCTACAAATCCTGGCATATTAGTAACCAAGATCTTCCAATGAGGAATTTGGATAAAACTTGAACGTCCCACAAAATATGAAAATATCCATAACATAAATCGTATTATTGTGATTATAATTTTCAAATTTTACCCCATTCTAACTTACAGTTGGAAAGGAACTTGAATATGAAGTTTATGTCAATTGAAACTTAGATTTTTGGCAAAATTGCAAACTATAAATAAGCCTCTAAAAAAATTGCATTTCCAGGTCGGGTCGATCTGACCACGTTGGACAGGTGTTGCATGGACTTTGTGTCATTTGAGAAGGCAACATAAGCATGAAGGTGTTATTTTTTTGTGTCATTTGTGCCCTACTTCTTGTCAAGCACATATGTGTATATCCAAAGAGATTCCTACTACAGCACTAACTTATTTCATGCATGTGTGGGATCATCTTTCAGGTGATTCCCTCGTGGACAAAGGTACACCTATGTAGATTTTACGTACCTTACGTAAAATGAGACGTGGCAGTTTTATATTGGGTATT